AAAGATAAAAACTGTGCAACATGCAGCTTTGAAAAAGTGACGACACGACATGGCGATTCAGAATGCTCTGAAATATCACAATATCATGTATGAGCCATATCGCCCACCCCTACCGGAGAGTCTTATTTATGCACAAAATTATGATTTATCCTATATTTAATTAGTGGGTCTTAGAGACAGGTGCGCTTTAAAGTCCGACAATTACAGTAATAATAACATTTACAAGATCCCAAAGAGAGATAGAGATTTTTAAAAATTAAGATGCTCAAAGAACCATCTACAACAAGTAAGATGTTGATTGGTCATAACTTTTACACAGAACCCTAATTAGAAATGTCTGAACATTGTTTTTATAATTTCACACAATTCTGTTTTTGTGATTCAGACTAGAAACTGCAGTGAAAACGTCCTCGTACAGTGCCTTGCGAAAATATCCGGCCCCTTGAACTTTTCAACCTTTTGCCAAATTTCAGGCTTCAAACATAAAGATATAAAATTGTAATTTTTTGTGAAGAATCAACAAGTGGGACAATTGTGAAGTGGAATTAAATTTATTGGATGTGTCAAACTTTAACAAATAAAAAACTGAAAAGTGGGGTGTGCAATATTATTGGGCCCCCTTGCGTTAATACTTTGTAGCGCCGCCTTTTGCTGCAGTTGCAGCTGCAAGTCTCTTGGGGTTTGTCTCTATCAGTTTTGAACATGAAGAGACTGAAATTCTTGCCCATTCTTCTTTGCAAAACAGCTCGAGCTCAGTGAGGTTGGATGGAGAGCGTTTGTGAACAGCAGTCTTCAGCTCTTTCCACAGATTCTCGATTGGATTCAGGTCTGGACTTTGACTTGGCCATTCCAGCACCTGGATACATTTATTTGTGAACCATTCCATTGTAGATGTGGCTTTATGTTTTGGATCATTGTCTTGTTGGAAGATAAATCTCTGTCCCAGTCTCAGGTCTCTCAGACTCAAACAGGTTTTCTTCCACAATGGTCCTGTATTTGGCCCCATCCATCTTCCCATCAATTCTGACCATCTTCTCTGTCCCTGCTGATGAAAAGCAGGCCCAAACCATGATGCTGCCACCACCATGTTTGACAGTGGGGATGGTGTGTTCAGGGTGATGAGCTGTGTTGCTTTTACACCAAACATATAATTTTGCATTGTGGCCAAACAGTTTGATTTTGGTTTCATGTGACCAGAGCACCTTCTTCCACATGTTTGGTGTGTCTCCCAGGTGCTTGTGTCAAACTTTAAACAACACTTTTTATGGATATCTTTGAGAAATGGCTTTCTTCTTGCCACTCTTCCATAAAGGCCAGATTTGTGCAGTGTACGACTGATTGTTGTCCTATGGACAGACTCTCCCACCTCAGCTGTAGATCTCTGCAGTTCATCCAGAGTGATCATGGGCCTCTTGGCTGCATCTCTGATCAGTCTTCTCCTTGTTCCAGATGAAAGTTTAGAGGGACGGCCGGGTCTTGGTAGATTGCAGTGGTCTGATCCTCCTTCCATTTCAATATGATTGCTTGCACAGTGCTCCTTGGCATGTTTAAAGCTTGGGAATTCTTTTTGTATCCAAATCCGGCTTTAAACTTCTCCACAACAGTATCTCGGACATGCCTGGTGTGTTCCTTGGTCTTCATGATGCTCTCTGTGCTTTGAACAGAACCCTGAGACTATCATAGAGCAGGTGCATTTATACGGAGACTTGATTACACACAGGTGGATTCTATTTATAATCATCAGTCATTTGGGACAACATTGGATCATTCATAGATCCTCACTGAACTTCTGGAGTGAGTTTGCTGCACTGAAAGTAAAGGGGCCCAATAATATTGCACGTCCCACTTTTCAGTTTTTTATTTGTTAAAAAAGTTTGACACATCCAATACATTTCATTCCACTTCACAATTGTGTCCCACTTGTTGTTGATTCTTCACAAAAAATTTAAATTTTATTTGAAGCCTGAAATGTGGCAAAAGGTTGAAAAGTTCAAGGGGGCCGAATACTTTCGCAAGGCACTGTAGTTACATTCAGAACAAGCCAGATGATGCTCTTACTTGGGGCAGATTTTAAAGCGTGTCCCAGGGAAGCGGTAGTCCCACGTCAAAGCCTCTTCTTCTCCCTCGCAGCTAAACACTCGATCCTTGTGCTTCTCTGAAGAAATGTGCTGTTGCCACTGACGCTCGCCGTTGCTGTGTTTACCACACAGATGGCAGTAGACACCACTCTAAGATGCAAACAAAATGTGTCATTTAAAAATAAAAAAGACAAGCATTTAGCCTTTTTAGAATCAAAACCCAGACGCTAACCCACCATTGGTTCGGCATAGTCCGTTGGCATCACAATACATTTTTCCTCTGGGTTGGGCTGAGAGAACGCAGCTCCGTCTGCTTGGCAGTTTTGAGCGGCCAAAGACAGCCACATGTCATAAACCTGCTGCATGTTCCGCACTGAAGACAAAAACCATTCAACTCAAGTCTGCTCAGATTAATTAATCCAATCAGAAAATAAAAGGAGTTAAACCTCACTTAATCTCCACTGTCAGCACAACTAAACTCAGTGTCGCAATGCCCAAATAAAAAAATAAATAGACTAAAAGTGAACAGATGAGCTGAACGTTCCTCAAACAGAGCTCTGATGTTGGTTTTCACGTCTTAAATCTCTTGGTAACTGCACTGCAGAGGTCTGATCCACTCACAGTTATTATTCTTCATGTACATCCACATCTCCCTCTCCTCCTGGCTGTGTGCAAACGTGCAGTTCCCGGTGTAGCTACATTTCTTCTTCTTCAGAATCTGAGCGCACATCTGCAGAAATAAAATGCATAGTTGTTTGATACACACACACACACACACACACACTGCTGACAGCTGATAAAAACATGACCAGATCTTCAGTTAAAAGGTCAACAGGCTGCCAAACAATATTTTTGGGATCACTTTCGGTGAGATAATAAAAACTAATAAATAAAAATAAACCGTGTCAGCCTAATCACAGCTAATCCTCTCCTATTTGGGTTTGCTCTCCTGTGAGCGCCTAACCTTTTCCTCCTTTTTGTCCCCCATCGCAGAGGAAATTTGGGACTTGGAAATACCGTTGCTCCGGTCCATCTTGTGAGCTCAATCAATTGAAAAGTAAGCAAAATATTGACATCCATTTTGGTATGTGGCTGCATCTAAATGTAACAAAAGTTGGGCCATCACTTCCAAAATCCAAGATGTCACTTTTGTAGCTCTCTCTTTTCCATACAACTCGTGAAGTCTTCTTGTGATGGTGTGCCGTGAGGGAGGCTCATACGTACTGTCATTTGTTGCGGTGCTAAGGACGTCACACTGACTAGCATCTTCCAGCGCTAATTTGCCTGAAATTTGTAGCTATCCACTTCGATATAGCATTTGTTAGCCTGCCTTGCTTTTGTTTGTCCATTTTTCTCCCACACGCTGCATCCAGCCTCGTCTGCAGAAGCCTCCCTCCACTGTTTGTTACGATGGATGATTGGCTGGCATCAACGCTGTGTTTTGAATTGAAGTGATATTTCAGGCTCGAACTACTCCAATGGTAAGACAGTTCAGCGCAGCAGCCCTTACGGACAACTTTATTTCTATCCAGCCTGCCATCGGGAAGTTTTAAATAATAATGCCCATGTAAATGTCTGGTACCCGTCTCCATGTTTCTGTCCTCGCCGCGTGGCAGCAGCCGTACAAAACAAACGCTCTCATTGGTTGAAACACATGATGATGATCATCTAAAGCCAGTAGTGATCATCATTCCACCCTCCCTGAACAAAGCATTTGACTGTGTATATGTTCATAGCCACTGAACAACAAACTTAAAATTAAGGGAAAAAACTAAGCGTTAATGCCTGATAAAACAATTATTTATACAGTGTTTCTTCTACCATTATACAAGCAGGGCGCTCCGCCCTGTCAACAGAACCGAGCGCCCTGCCTACTGAATAAAACCACATCCCCCCACTCTGTGCCACCTCAGACAAACAAACAAAACTATCATATTTTTTAGCCTATAAGTCGCAGTTTTTCCCATAATTTGTATGCCCTGCGACTTATACACCGAAAGCAACTTATTTATGTTTTGTTTCCCATATTTATAAATCAATTTTTGACTGAGATATGATTGTTTTCATTCAAACCGACTGAAAATATTGAACACAACCACTTTCAGTCGCTAGATGGCACTCGAGTAGTATGGCATGCTGCTGCGTCATGTAATAAGTAAAAGTGGCTATTAATGACAAAATCGGCTTGCCAAAGCCTGCCACCTTCGTCCAGCTCACCTGGAGCAACAATCAAATCAGCTTAATTTTGTTGTGCCGCCCCGGCAAAATGCAGCTAATTTGACCAATGAAGTGCATTGAATAAGTAAAAGTTCAACTGAGACACACTTTACTATAATGTCGAGCAAACAAATAATTGTTTTAGGTGCTTAACTTGTTAAATTTCGAAGAAATGCACAGCATTCCTCCATTTTTTTCTCTCTCCTTTTTCTTTCTTTCTTTTTCCTTTTCTCTTGCGCGCTCCCGGAGCACCAGGTCAGCAAATACTTCTCAAAATGCAGCTGATTTGACAGTCACAGGGCATTTATTAAGTAAAAGTTAGACTGAGACACACCTTTACTATAATTTCAAGCAACAAATAATTTTTAGGTGCTTATCTTGTTCAATTTTGAAGAAATGCACAGCGACTCGTGCCGCTGTGCGTTCCTACTTCCGCGTATCGGCTTTTGAAATGCAGCTGATTTGACCCTCAAAGTGCATTTTTTAAGCAAAAGTTAGACTGAGACACACCTTTACTATAATTTCGAGCAAATAAACAATTGTTAAGTGTTAATCCTGTTAAATTCTTGTTAAAGACCTCCCATGCACGCCACCATTTGGCAGTCAATAGATTTTTGGCACAACAAAGGCCCACATTTCCGGGTTGTCAGCGGTGACGCATAATAGATGCAACTTATACGGTAAAGTGACGTATTTATGGATTTTTCCACTTTATTAGACAAATTTGGACTGATGCAACTTGTAGGGCGGTGGAACGAGTACGGCGGAAAATACGGTACATATCTTCTTATAAACGATTTAACTCCTACCCACTTGAATATGTTTCAACAAAAACATTAAGGTTTATTTGCATTCCCTGTTCAATTCCAGTCCAGAAAAACACTCTCCATATTTTATTGCTCATCTGTAGTTGGGTAGCAGAGGTAACAGGTCCAGGAGAGAAACCCAGACATCACTCATCCCAGAGACACTCTATAGCTCCTTTTGGAGGCCCCTGAGGTGTCCCAGGCCAGAGAAGCTACACAATCCCTCCAGCAAGTTCTGAGTCTGCCCCGGGACCTCTTGTTAGTGGGACATGTTTGAAACACCCCTTAAAGGGAGGCATCCAGGAGGCATCTGAATTAGATCCCTGAACCACCTCCACTGACTCTTGTCTTTGATGTGAAGGAGCAGCGCTCCACTTGGAGCTCCTCCCCTCTCTAAAAGGCTGTGCCTAGCCAATAGCCATCCTATGAAGGAAGCTCATACCAGCCATATAGAAAGTCCAGTAAATCAAGAACTTTTGCCGTTCGATTCAACTCTTTCTTCATCACAACAGACCAAAGCAATGCCTTCATTACAGGGGACTAAGCCCTGATATGATGATTAATCCACTCCATCCTATCATCACTTGTAAACAAGATGGTCAGATACTTAACTCGTCCACCTGAGGCAAAGACTCCTCCCAACCCTAAAGGCTCCAGTATACTCTCACGTATCTTTTTCTGCAGAGGGTTGAGACTTCTTACTCAAGTGTCCACCCTGAGCAGCTGCAGAGCAGCTCCGCAGACAAGGGGCATTTACCTTCAGGATAAATTGGGGTCACCGATTGGTCATTTGCTGACATGCCTACTGGATTGATTGACAGGTCACAAAAACAAACAAAAATTAAAAAAACGAGCGCTGGCGGCCCAGCCGCAGCAGTGTTGTGTGTTTATATGTTGTTAATAAAAAGTTCTAAAAAAAAAACAGAGTGCTGGCCCTGCAGCCCACACATCAGACCAGCCCACCAGGAACTCTCCAGACCCTCCCGCAGGCATGCTGGACCTGATTTTAATTCTCTCGTGACAAATTCCTCATTTCTCACCATTTCAGTCATGGCATCAACAGGAGGAAGAGAACGCTTGCCTCTAGGAAAACAAAACAAAAAAAGACCATTAAACCAGACCAGGGATGAAGAAGGGGAATTTAATACATTGGTGTCGCATACACAACAGTCTGTCACCGGGCAGTTTATTGTGCGACACCGAGTACACGTACGTAAAAATTGAGCTTTGCATGGACATGCCCTGCAGGCGTCCGCTTCAACTCTAATCCAGTACGCGCAGACCTCCACGGACTCGTGTATGCCCACTATACTGGAGCCTTAAGGGGACGTTCCATCTGTTTTCGGTTGAG